AGACAGGGGGCGGGGCGGGCGGCCGCGTTCGGTGGCGGCATCTGTTCGTGGTGCTGAAACCCCGAGAGCAGAGCTCAGCGCAAGTAAGTCACAATGGCCAACTTTCTCTCCGAGGGGCGCCGGTGGCCGCGCGCCCCGCGGAGAGCTGCTTGGGCGCCTCATTTCCACCTAACGACCGGACACCAAAGTTTAGGCATATTTAGGGTATCCTGGGGGTGCCTTTCTTTTGTTCCCCGGGAGCTGGCGTCAGGTTCTAAGAATCAAAAGTGGAGCCGGAGAAGTGGAGGGAGGGGGGGTGCAGAGAATCCGCCTTTAACGCAAGGTTTTCAGCGCAGCTCTCGAAACCGCTTCCCAGGAGTTGAATGTCCAGACCCGAATTAAATCCCCCACGCTCCCCAGCATGAAGTGGGACGCCCAACGGGGGATAAATATATACATTCCAAAAACATGTCCACTACCTCAAAATGGACGCCGGGCGCGCGCCGCCTTCTAAGTGCAGCTTGTCGCTCTTGGCCATCCGGGCCTCGCTCCCCTCGCCTCCAGCACCCAGCCCTCCCCGGGCAGAAAAAAAGGGGCGGGCAACTTTGAGCTAGAAGACAGGCCCCTCGGGGAGTCTGGAAGGTGGCACCCGGACCGGCACTTTTTAGGGTGCTGCCAAAGTGTCGCCGCCCCTCCCCAGCCCAGCCACCCGAGCCGGCGGTAAGAACGTGGCCGCCTCCGCGCTTACTTGTTTGTCGCTCAGTGCTGAGATCCGCGGCGGCCTGCCGTGGGGCTGTTTCTTGAGGTCGCCGTTCTGCAGAGACACGGAGGAGCGAGCTCAGGCGGCCGCCCCGGAGGGACGGGGAAGTGGCCCCGGCACCCCCAGTTCCCGGCCCCAGCCGCCGCCCCCGGCCTCCCGCCGCGCACCCTCACAAGTTCCCCGCGCGTCCCGGCGCGAGTGGCGGCCAGCGGTTTACCTGTGGCTGCCGCCTCATCGGGGCCACCGGCGGCAGCGCCCCGAGCGCGGCAAGTTTGGAGGCCGGCTGAGTGTACAGGGAAGTGTGAGTGTGAGTGCGTGCCGGGGGAGGGGGGAGGAACAAAGAGCCAAGTAAACACGGCGAGTCCGTGTGGAGCAAAGCTCATAAATATTCAAGTCGCGTCCTAATCTCTCCAGCACACACCCGCGCGCCGCCAGCCTGCCCGGCCCGGCAGCCACACCGCGACCGCCCAGCACCAGCCCGCAAAAGTACTTCTGCAAAGTGTGCAAGGTCGTACTGGGATGGGGGGTCGGCACCCTCGCACCCCAAGAAGGCGCGGGGGACTCTCCCTGTAACCCCACTCATGTAGATGGTGCGATGAGAAAGACAATCTTTCACGCGCCTCCACCAAGAGCCCCTCAAACTGTACACAGGGGTCTGGAGGGGGGGGCGGGGGAGGTGCCTATACACATTCTCCACCCTGGGCAGAATCACTGGGTCCCCTTCCTGGCACCTTAGCCACGAAGCTCTTGAGACCAGAAAGAAAAGTCGCCGGGCTCGGGTCGCTATGCTCCAGCACCCCCCCCCCCCAAAATTGTGCCAAAACTGCACCCGGACCACAGGAGGGGCCGCCCATGGGTCCGTATACACGCCCAGGCTCACCGGGAAGCCCTCGAGTGCCCCCAGTTATGTATCCCCTGCAACAATAAAGAAAAGTCGCTAAACTCGGGGCTTCGGCGCGTCCGAAGCCCCCCAAACTGTGCAGAACTGCACGGGGGACTAGTGGAATGGGAGGAGCGCCCGGAAGTGGGTCCAGGCATACTCCCCACGCCAAGCAGATTCACCGGGGAGTCCCACCCAACACCCCAGCCTCTCGGCGGGCTCAAGTCCCTTGGGCACCCTCCTCCCGAGGGTCTCCCGCCCCAGGTACCGGGCCACCTACCTGGTGGCGCGCGAGTTCCAGGGCGAGCGCCTCGGGCCGGCTCTGTAACGCCATGCCCGCAACTTGGGCGCACTTTACGCTCACTTTGGCCCTGGCTCCGGGAAGTTTTGCGCTCGGCAGGGGAGCGCTGGGCCCGCCGGCTCCGGCAGGGGGTCGGAAGCCCCCTCCCCGGAGCCCGTTGAGGGGCGAGCAGGCGAAGGAAGAAAGGCGCCGGGCCGGCCCGCGGCCCCGCAACTCCTCAGGCTGCCCCGCCAGGCGCGCCAGGTCCCGGGGCTGCGGGAGCGGTCCGCCGCATGGCCCCCGGCGCCCCGAGCCCGCGCCTAGCCGCCCGCTCCCGCCTGCCCGCGGCAGGGACTATATTTCCTACGGCGCGCGCGCCTGTATCTCCCTGGGCCTCGGGAAAGTTGCGCCTCGGTACGATGCTAATTCGGCAGTGCCCGGATGGAGCGGGC